GTCGCCGTCGGGGGCGGTGGTGGTGGTGGTGGCGGTAGTGGCGCCGGCGCTGGATCCGGCAGCGGCAGCAGAGCTTCCGGCAGCGGTAGCGGCGGCGGCAGCGGCGGCAGCAGCATCGTAGCCAGGGTAGCCGTGGGGCTGCCACTGGGCCGGCGGCTGGGCGCCGACGGGGACGGCGATGGCGTGGCCCACGGGCGGCGGCTGGTGGTAGTGGTGGACCACCTGCTGCTGGTGGGGGGCCTGGTAGTAGGCGTCGTCGTGGTCGTACATCTTTCTCACTGCGTCGACGTCCTGGAGGTACACCGGGGGCTGTTGGTAATTGAGGAGCTCCATGGGGCCGGTGGCGGGCTTTGCGGGAAGGACGGGGGTAATGGCGCTAGCTGGGGGTCAACACGGAAATATACAAAGGAAGGGGGGCACCCGCTATCGGAGAAACGCAGACGAGGCAGGGCTGACAACGGGGGGATACGGCGTGTGCGTGACAAGTGACTTGGGGCAGGATCTCCCAGTGGGCCCGGAACGTGGTTGTTTTATATGCCCCCAACTCGTAGGTTCCATATGTTAATTACACGAACCGGTGGGATGGACGAAAAAATACTCGCTCCATGCACCTGGCCGCGGAAAATAATTTCACCTCGCGTTATTTTCCCGCCGCTTGTCTGTCCGCCCCCCTCTCAGCGAATTTTATTTCGGCAGTTGGGGGGGCGCCGCGGCGCCGCGTACGTCGCCTAGGTCGGGTTTGGGGCGCCCCCGAGCCTTAGCCGGCGCCCGCCAGCGAGAGTATCGTTGAACGCGTTAGCCCGAAATGCCGACCATCTCCAGCCCGCCCCGTTTACTAATTACATAGGTACACCCCTCGCCTACCCCCTGTTACAGGCGGCATTAGCCCTGTTTCACCCTTCTAGCCCGCAGCCGCGGGCGATGCCCTTATAGAGCCCTAGCGCCGTGATTGCTTGCGACTTATCTCTGCTTTCACTGCACTCATATACATGAACGACTTCCAGATGATATTTTTTATTTCTGCGCACTGGCCACACGTTTCCACCTCCGCAATCAGGACTTGGGGGGGGGAGGTACTCAGAGCCAGGACAATCGAGAAAACCCATCGAGCGCGGAGAGGGCAATCGGCATCCCATGGAGGCTTACGCTGTCGCAAGCCTGATCCGGAGATTAACTGATCAAGGAGAAATCCCCGTACGCAGTCTGAGTGATTTATTAAAGGTCTAACCCAAATTGACCGTCGCTGGTGAAATTTATTTCCTGGGCCTAATAGAGTGTAATGCCACTGAGCCTGCTTAATAGCCTAGTGACTTCGGTGCGTCGACTTGTGGTGTACGCTTTCTCTCGCCGTCCCAATCCAGTAAACGGGGCTCTCAATTTGGACGTGGGCCCACCATTTCCAGAGCCATAAGGGAAAAAAAAAAGCCCCGTCAGGACGATCTTCGCTTTCCGTCGTAAATATCGTCTGACCATCTCGTGGCGCTCACCTCTCGTCCCCCTTGATCTGGACCAGCGATTCCCATACGACGCAACGGTAACTTCAAACGGCACCTCAATCTCGGCGAAGTTCGTCCTTGGCAGGGGGACACGGTTAACGACACGGCTGTCGCCACCCGTACCCTAGTGTTGCCAGAGTCAACGACATCGGTTTAAGGTTATAGTGTCACCGAGTCGCCGCATGCTTAGAAAATCTAAACCCGTCGTCTAAATGGTGCAAAATAACCCTAAAAACCCACCAACGTGGTCGTTAACGCCACAAGCGTGAGTGTCCCGAGTGTTCCCACGGCTGGAGTGTTCACCGCAAAAATTTCCCTCGTTTGGGGGCGGAAGCGGTGGCTCTGAGGGTCGTTGCTTTACCTGGTAACCACCACCTACATTTAACCGGCGTAAGCGAAACAATGGGCCAGCTGGTCGCCTGAGCGTTTATCCAATGAGAGCTCTGGCGCCATTGTTGGCTTCCACAAGCCACTGGCAACGCTGCATACAGCTATTCCAGGGTCACTCGCCATACCAGCATGGAACACCGGGTGTGTCCGCCTGTGGTCGCAATTCTCCCCTGCCGGTTTGAGCTAGCGTGACTATTAATAGATAGCTACAGTTAACCGATTCACCACCGATCCAGTGTCTCTAGCCTCGTTAGACGACAGTAGTCATGGCGACCACTTAATTGATGGACACGATTTCCTGTAGTGATTTGACTCGGGGAAGGTCGAGGCGAAGAGGAGTTTGATTACAACCACACCCACCACCGGTTCCGTTTTGCGGTAGCCGACGTAATTCTCCTCGCGTTTGCGGTCTCGCCAAGCGACCTTTGTTCTCGTGGTTTTGCGGTCGTCACTGGACCACACGAACAATAGCCACTCCTCGGGCAGCCGAGGGCTAAAAAAGAAGCCACAGACGACTACGCGGCAAGGCTGGCGGCCACGTCGAGAGAATAGACAGAGAGAAGATCGGCGCGTCCGCAAAAACACAGCGATAAAATATAGGCACCCCTGGGCCCACGTGAAAAGCCAGGGTCCCCCTGAACCCGCTTTGTGGCTGCTTGGTTTAACCCCGATCGTTCGCTCGGGATAAGCGAGCGGGTGCACACCGCGCGATTTTGAGAAGAGTCAAGAGAGGAGAAAAAGGGGAGAAAGCGGACAAAACTTGACACGATACACTCCAGTGCTGGGGATTATTGTATTGTAAGTATACTTGCACGTGGCTTTAGTTGGGGCCGGCAATCGCCTGGTGGAAGGCGTCGACGGTGGTGCCGCGGCGGCGGCGCGGTTTGTGGTCGGCGTGTTTAACCTGTTCCGTAATCGCCGCCAAATCGGACCCGGTGACCGCCTCCATGAACGCGCCGATCTCGATGTTCTCGTGGTTGCCTCTCAACGCATCCAACGCGTGGTTGAGCGACGGCAGGTTGGTGTGGGCGTAGATGTTGACGTCGACGGCCAGGTGGCCGTGGGTGGTCCACCCGGTCTCCAGGCGCACGCTGACAATGTTGTTGAGCACGTACACCAACTGGGGCAGGTTCAACGCCTGTTCGATCAGTTTCACTTCGCCGTTGGTCAAGTCGTCGACCCCCAAGTGGCGCTGGACCTGTTTGCGCAACTTCTCCTTGCCGGCGGCTTCTAAGGGCATTTCAGCAGCGCCAAACAGATTCTGCAATACCTGAGCGACATATTCACCTGACTTTTGAGCGTCAACAAGCACCTGAGGGTACCACGCGTAATTAGGGTACTCCGCCGAGATTTGGCGGGCGGTGACTAGACCGCCAGTCTCGTGGTCCAGGGTCAGAATCACGACGGTTTCCACGTCCAGATTGTCAACAAAGTCAATCACCGCCTGGAACGCCTCGTCGTAGGCCAACACTTCCCTCACTTGAGCGGCGGGGTCGTTTTGGTGGCCGGCGTGGTCGATGCGCAGCCCTTCAATCAAGAGGAAAAACCCTTGGTCGGAGTCCTTGGTGGCGTCGCTAAGCGCTCTAAGCGCCAACTGCGCCTGCTGCTTTAACAGCGGGTGCAGTTTGGGGTCGCGGTCGATGTCAAAGGGGATATCCCCCTTGGCGACAAGCCCAAGAAGCGGGAGCGGCACCAGCTTATTTTTAGCGATTTCCTCATACCCTTTGACGTCACTGAAGTAGGTCCACCCCTGTTGTTGAGCTTCAGCCACCAAATCACGCTCATCCGAACGACAACCACCTTTGCCCTTAGGAGTATAAAAGCAGCGTCCCCCGCCAATAATCAAGTCCACCATACGACCAAGACCAGGCTGGTTCAACTGTTGTTCGGCAATCTGGTCCTCTTGCCATCTGTAGTCGACATGAGCCAGAAACGCCCCCGGAGTAGCATCAGTAACGCGAGTAGTCACCACTAAACCAGTCAAGTACCCTTGAAGCTTAAGCGCTTCCAACACCGTACCACAGGGTTTACCATCAGGCAGCACGCCGATAGCGCCATTATACAGCTTCAAAGCACACAGGAACGCGGTAGCGCCAGCAGCCAGATCAGTGACCAACAGCAGCAGCAGTCTCGTCCGCAGCAGGCCCACCAAGTAACGGTCAAGGACTAACGTATCATTCAACGGCAAATTGTCCCTATGTTGACGGAAACTGCGGGCTAACGATAACAGCGCCGGGCCCATCCCGTCGGTGACCATCATAATCACGTTTTTCTTCCCCCTGACGTCCACGGGGGGAATGGGGACAGCGTGCTGGTTGTTTTGGGTAATAAGCAATCCGGCAAGCACTAAGGCCACCACCAGGGGCACGATGAACGCCCACTGGTACCATGCGAGCTTGTGGTGGCGGCGGCGGTTAGTGGCGTCCGTGCCACCAATCTCGCCTAAGAGGGGCTCCGATTCGGTCATATCAGGTTGACTTTTGGCGAAATGTCGAAAATAAACGTGTGAAATTCACCGGCAAAAGCCTCCGACACTTCCAATTAATTAATACACCAATGGCGGCTTAGGTCGAGGTCAGAATCGAGGCTTCGCGGCCTGCACCTAGCGGAGTAACCCAAGTAACAATAGTAATACATCGGTGCAGCAAAAAGGTCGTGCTCTCACGTGGGCCGAGCAAATATCACTCTTATTGCCGTTTCCGGCCACCAGCTGGCAACCGGTTAGAAGACTGGAGCCAGGCGGCTACGGCTGCTGCTAGTGCCGCTCGAGTTCGTCCGTATGCCCGCTCGGTTGGTGTCTGCTTTTTCCTCCTGTTATCGCCGCTCTTCAATGCCGCATCACGGCTTGGACGGAGCTAGCGGTGAAATAACCCCGGTCGGTGGCCCCGAGAACCCCAACCATCCCAAGAAAAGACCCCAAATAGTCCTCTAAATATAGTCGTTGTTCAACAACTAGATAAAGTAGAGAATGTCGATTACCTTCATTAGACTCAAAACCGCTTTCGCTTCGGTGGCCCTTTGTTCGCTTAGTGTTTGTTTGTCGCAAAGGTGCGCCTTACCGAAAGGGTGATGGATCTAGCCGAGAGCCCGCCCGCCACACGCAAATGACACCTCAGTTATCCTAACGCTAGTGAAACAGTCGACGCGGGCGATTAGTCGGTTGAGGGGGGCGACACTTTTACCCATTTTCGTAAAAGTGTCGTTTTTCATGGGCGATAAAGCAGCCCCGTGCCGAGAAAATTCTCGATTTCCAGAGGCCTCACCCGGGCCACCGGGATGGCCCATAACCCCCCGGGGAGCTGCTGGCATAGCTCAGGGTTCACACGGGGGAGGTTGCGCGTGTAACCTGCGCGTTAGCCGTTCTGCGTCGAGCGCTTTTTCTCTCCCCCCACGACTCTCTCCCCCCACGACCTATGAGTGGGAATGGGGGAAAAGGGTTCATTCAGGGCTGGTAAGCGCATTTGACACTTAGCCAAAAGCGCCATTTGCCGCCACCCACGACCCCGGCACCGGCACCAGGAAACGGTTTAGTTTTGCAAATGAATCTGTTCCGGAGACGGGGTAAAGGCCTCTAAAAATTGGGGTAAATTCTATTTTCAGGAGGGAGAGTTCTATTTCTGTCTCCCCAAAACGCACCGCCGGCTAAGCCCAAGGGATAGTCGCCAGTGCAGCACGGGTGTGACGACCCTTCCCCAATCAGAGAAGTGAAACAGCACAATTTCTATCATGAACAGTCATAGACTTTCATCTCAAGAGCTCTATCTCGGGTCATCATCATCTCGTAGTGTCAAATTCACATGACTTTGATATCAATGGTGAGCGTAATAATTTGGTACGTCTCAGACTCGAACCACATCCCCTATGAATCACGTATCATCACTTCCAGGACTCGAACCATCGCGCGCCGCACTGACATCACCAGCCTCAGTCTCCCCATAGAAGTACCTTGTCAATGCAAGTGTACCTCCCCCGCGACCTCGTCGACACCGCCCGCGGGTACCTTGTCGGTGTCGTCATCGACGACTGCTACGTCATCTGCGACGTCGTCGACGATCTCCCCGCCTCCCTCCCTCAACCACTCGCGGTGGTGGGACTGATAAATTTGGACCACGGCCCCCTCCGATTCAAAAACGACTTTCTAAATCGGTTTCCCTATTTGTCAGAGAATACCCTGTGTTTTGTCGTCGTGTTCAACCCTCCCAACTACCGCAATTTCGAGTATTTTGCCATTCTGCCGATTTTGCTCCAACTGGTGGGCACCACGGCACCGCCCTGTGACTATGCTGCCCAGCTCTGTCAGTGGCCATCACCAGGAGTGGCTAGCACCAGTTTAGCTAACGATCGAGTGCTTGAAGCCGTCAATCTGACCCTCACCACTCGCAAACGACTCCGCCGCCATGGACTTCAACCTGATTCTGAAACTACACCTGAAACCACTGGTAAAATTACACCTGAAACCACGGGTGAAACGAAAACAAATACTACGGCCACGTCATCGATCCGCCGCGGGCTTCGCCACTTACAACTAGCAGGAATCTTCGCTCTCAGCGTCGTCAGCCGGGGACTGAATTACTCCGCCACCCTCCGCCAAGCTCAGCTCAGGCTCTGGCAGTTGGTTAATCTTCCCGTCCATTTTGGCCTGTACAAGGGCTGGCTTGATCTCGACCATTTACGGACGAAACTTCCCGTGTTCAATTCCAACGTCAACGTCGCCAATTCGAACTATATTAACTTCTACAATACGCTCTGGTGCTTTGTCAACGATGTGGTTATTGGCCGAACCGTGTTGGCGTGGATTCGGAGCTATAGCCCCGAAGACGTCGCCTGGGGGGTAGCCCGAGTGGAAACCCTTCTATTTGGCGATTTCAGCGACTATATCACCTGGGTGGCTCTCCACCACCCGGCAGGGTTTAAGCTTAACGACCAATTGGGCCGGTTCATGGAAGGGATGTACCAATGGACGGTGGACTGGTGGCGGGGGTCGTTAGCCGCCGTCGTCCCCGATGCGGCGGCGGTGGTGTATGCCGCGATCCACTCGCCGATGATGACGGTGGTGTGCCATCTAGGGGTCACGTTCACCCTAGCAGTGGTGATTGACGTCGTCAAGGCGCTCACCCTCCACATTCGTGTGTTTGCTACCGTCGCCACCAAAGTGTACCATAAACACTTGATGGTGGTGCTGCTGCTTTTCCAGCTCTACCAAGGGAAAAAGTACAATACGTTGCGCCATCGGGTCGACCACGAGAACTACGAGACCGACCAGCTCTTGATGGGAACGTTGCTTTCGATGGTATTAGCGTTGCTTCTCCCTACGGTGTTGGCGTTCTACTGGCTCTTCTTTATCAGCCATGGACTTGTGCTTGTCGCCATTAACATATTGGAAGACCTTCAGACGATCGTGGGATTCATGCCGTGGTTCCCTTGTTTACTAAAGATCAAAAACTCTAACCGTCTTCAGGGGGGAGTCACTTTCACCCGGTTAAGTACCCAGGGGAAGACGCTGATTGTACAATTGAGCAATAAGTCGCTTGGGTGGAAGGAGATCTTCCAGCATTTCCCTCAGCTCTTCAAACGGTGGCAATTGGGGACGGTATTTCCTCAGTTTCTTCGCGGGCGGCCGTTAGCGAAAACCGACCTCCGCGAAGTACAGGCCCGCTACCTCATGCTCCCCGACGAACCGGTATTGATTTAACCAACAACGCTTACATAAGTATTCCAAACCTCCTCCAAGTTGCCCAACAAAATCGACGGCTTATTTTCCGAGGCATGGCGGTATTAGAGAGAGCGGGTGGCAATTGCAGCAGGTACGCCATCGCGAATCTGCCGGTTGATCGGTGGCTTTTCAATACGTGCCTTGCGATCGAGCGAGGCTTTGGCTACCCTAGTGGTGGCCGCTTATCGCTTACTCCTACCCAATTGGGAGGGGCATCGCTAAGCCTAACCCACGCTTGAAGCCGCGCGCGCGCCAATGTGCCCACCGCGCGCTCTGCCCCACTGCCCCACAGCGCTCTTCCCCAGAGTTATTTGCATTGCCATATTTCCACACCACTCTCACCACCTAAGCCTCAATCTCGCTTTGTGATGGTTTTGATCCTTTCCGATAACGACGTGGCGGCGTACCTCGACCGCCACCTCACCCAGCAGCTGCTCCTCGACCAGTTCATCCCTCATCTCCACCACCTGCTCCAAGTTTACGGGGCCAACCCCGACGCCATTGTGCCCCCACGCACCGTCCAGGAGTCAAACAACCCTGAAAGTGACACCACCCACTTGTACATGCCGTGTATTCTGCCGGACGAAGTCGGGATCAAGATCATCAGTGGCGGTCCCGGTAACAACCAAAAGGGGCTTGGTTTCGCTGGGTGCGTGCTTGTGTTGGACGAGATCACCGGCGAGGCCCGCGCCTTGCTCAACGGGGCGACGTTGACGGCGTTCCGCACGGCGTTGGCGCTGATGATCGGGGCGACCAAAGTGGTCCCCACCACGGAAAATGTCACCGAAATCGCCGTGTTCGGCGTCGGTCGCCAAGCCGAATGGCACATCAAGCTTGCCCTCTTGTTATACCCCAGCATCACCACCGTGCGCGTGTTTAACCGCAGTCAAGCCAACGCCGATAAGTTGGTGGCGCTGTTGACGCCGCAAGTGCGCTCGGTGAAGTGGACCACGGGCACCTTCGCCGACGCGAAAGCCACCAAATTATCGGCCCGCCTTGTGTTTGGCTGCTGCCCTTCTACCGAGCCGGTGATCGTGGCGCTGGCGCTCCCGCTTCCCGTGTTCATCCTGTTGATCGGCTCGTACAAGCCCCACATGATTGAATTGGACGTCTCGGTGGTGCACCAAGTGAAAAATGCTAAAGTACCAATAATCGTCGACAGCAAGGACCACTGTTTGCATGAAGCCGGCGAATTGATTCAGGGCGACGTCACCAGCGACGACCTCGTTGAACTCGCCCAGCTTGACGATACCGTGGTCGCTAAGCTCCGCCAGCAGCCGGTAGTGGTGCAGAAGCTCGTGGGGCTCGCCATCATGGACGTCAGCGTCGCCAAGTTGATTGTCGACCACAGCGACGGCGCCGGCGCTCAAGTCGACTTCTAGACGACTTAGACGGACCAGCAGAGTTCAGGTCTAGCAGGTTTCCCACTAGGTCTAGACTTCACGCCTCCGACCTCTCTCTTCCGTACATAGATTTTGCCATTATCAGAATCATCAGATCCCGAGGCGTCGACGAGCCCTCTCGACCCAGTACCCGCCTTACGCCGACAATCGTTCGTTTATGTAACCGGCAGCCCTCGCCGATGGTGGCTTCCGCCAGCCTCATTCAGCCTCATCTTCTTTCCCCTTTCGCCAATAAGCCATTGTCTCTAGGCGCCCCCCCAATCTGCGCTTTCTGCCTCCCAGCGGCTAATTCAGCGCTCGCGGCATCTGCGCTCAGCGCCATCTGCGCCCAGCGTCATCTGGGCTCAGCGCCATCTCCGCCGCCGCAACCGGCACCGGCGCCCTTTTCTTCGGCGACTGTGGCATGACGTCGGCGGCGACGTCAGTGTGGTTTTTTATTGCAGTGGCAGGCGAGACGTGAAACACCCGTGCTATCGCCACGCTCTTCCATGCAGACTGTCGGCACCTTGCCGAGGCCACCATGCCGCACACGCCCTGCCGATGAAATTGGCGGCTGCTGCTGCTGCTGCCATGTGCCCGAGCGTTGCCACAGGTGCGAACGGAGAATGTAGCAATCACGGGGATGTGACCAAATTTGGCGGTGGTAAGTTTCACTATGAGTTAGAGGATTTAGTCATTTTAAACGTAACTTGAAACATCTGTATTTAAAAAAAAAAAAAAAAACCATTTACAATTGATTTNGATTTCAGTAAAGATCTACGTAAAAGTTAAAGTAAAGATTTATTTGGTATATTGTTTTATGCAAGAGCCACAAGCGAGCGAGGGCTGGCTCGGGTGGGGGGTTACAAAATCACGGCGACGTCATCGCCGACGTAAAGCGATTTGTCATTGTCGACTGGGGGGGAGCCTGTCTACCTCCGGGATAAACCCGAGCCACATACAGATACGCCCCGCCGGAGATCATTTTCCATGGGGCGGGCGCGAGCCGAGCACGATCGGACCCTTCACCGCAGAGATTCCTTCGCTGGCGTCACCGCGCGCCGCCGCCTCGCACGCCCCCCCCTCCGCGTGCGAATTTTTGCGAGGACAATTGCGAAATGCACAGGGCGTGCTCGCCTAAGCAGTGGAAACTGGCGCCGAACAGAGGGACACCATGCATTGGAAAAGGAGGGGGCTGGCGGGCGCTAAGCCCTCAGGCACAGATCACATGCCAATCGCAGGCGAGATAATATCGGGGACCGCCGGAGTTTCATCTCCAGACAACCTTAGTATCGCGATTACGTCACCTGCACTTCCGCCGCCAGTGCTACCGCGGCGTCGACGGGGGTAGTAGCGTCGTCCCGCCAGTGTTTGAGGTCGCGGACGAGCTCGACAAGCTGGCGGTGGCGCTCGTCAATGGGACCGGCGCCGGCGGCGGCGACGGCGTCGAGCAATTCCTGGACGACGCGCGTCTCCATCGCCTGGACAAGCGCCACCTGGCGCGCCGTCAGCACCGGGTGGTGCCACGGGCGGTGCTTGATGCTGAGCCGCTTCATCAGTTGCAGCGGGACGAGGGCGGTGGTGCGGAGGAAGAGCCGTTCCAAGGGTGTGAGGTCAGTGAAGCGCCGCAACATCGCTTCGGCGACGAGCGCCATCTTCGCCGGCGCCAGCACCTCGAGAATGAGCCACGCCAGCCGCGGCAGAGCCACCACGTGCTCGACATACTCGACCTCGTCCTCGTGGCGGATATACTCAAAGGTGTACTTCCACACGATCCGCTCAAAGAATGGAGAGAGTTGGCGGCGCTTAATGAGGTCGAGATAGCTGGAAAAGTTCTGTTTCAAGTTCTTGATGATGTATAGCGGTCTCTCGGCGTCGTCCCACTTCTTCAAAAGGACAATGTCGAACTGGGTGTGCTGCAACGGCGTCCACTGGTCCCCGAGCCACTTGCGGGTATTCATCACTAAAGGGACCGTTTCCGGCAGCTCAAAGTGGCGGTTAAGCACGATATCCGTCAATAACTGCGGCGTAAGCTTGCGGTGACTGGCAAAGAGGTCGACAAGCTGGCGGAGCCTCGTGGAGTCGCTCACCCGCCGCACGTAGTCCAGCTGGGCCTGAGTCGCCATGGCGAGAAGCAGCGCGTCTGCCGCGGGTGCCAGTAACGATACGACCAAGTTGTTGAGGTAGTGGGTGTATTTGGGAGCGTCGGGCGTCGCCGTAGGGGGCGGCGCATTAGCGGTGTGGATTTCACCGGCGTCTGCGGGACGGGAAAGCAAGTTGAGCGCCTCGGCGAGGAAGCGAGGGTCGCTCCGGCGATGGACCCGCCGAAGCACTAAGCGGAACGGCGCTCGGAGCATGACAGGGAGGAGTCTTTTGTAGGTTATACTGTGGTGGTGGTAGTAGTGGTGGGAGGGTGGCGGATGAGCGCGGGAAGTGGTGCGGATGGTAGCGCCGCGAGATCCCCCGCGGTGTTGTCATTTTTCTCCATCTCTCACCTGTCCCCCACCAACCACCCCCACACTCAACCACCTGATACGGTGCAGCCGCCAAATCTGTGCAGTTCAATTCCCCCAGTATACGATGGAGGTGTTTCTCCGGCGCCAGCAGGCGGCCAAGGCGAAGAGACGGCCCCGTCCTGACCCCAGAACTGCTACTGCCACCACTACCAAAACATCGTACCGAGGCCACCCGTTGCGTCAGGTGATCACGGGAATGCAACCGGCGACCCCCGAGCCGGACCACTCCGCGGTGTTTCCGTCACTGCCACGGCAACGGAAGCGACCCCATCGAGTGTTTAAGCGGCACCGCCGTGCCTCGCCTCCCAGCCACTGTCTCGACGAATTCCTCATTCCAATTGGTAATGAAGAGGATGAAATTGAGGACGAAATTGAGGCTGAGATTGAGGGGAAAAATCAGAAAATGGGGTCGTGGCCGTTGGCGTTCACGTCGATGCCCACGGCGACGCGGTGGACGCAGCGGAATGTCGACGCGTTGGCGATTCTCGGCGTGGGTCTAGATGGTAACAGTACAGGTGTGTTTGGTCCGGTATACGAAACGGTGCTGCCACCTGACGTGTACTCACGTCCGCAGGTAAAACCCCCGCTATGGGCCTGCAACTGGTGAAAATTGGGGTATTGCGATCTAACGAACAAAAAAACAGTAACGACAAAATTATGACGAAGAAAAAGTGACGACGAAATTATGACGAAGAAAAAGTGACGACAGGGACAACAGACATAGCGACGAATAACCGACGATAATATAGTAATGACGACAATTAAAGTGAAGGTAGACAACGAGTGTTGCCAATCACGACTGGCATTACCATCCTTCTTGAATGAGGAGATTTGAAATTACTCAGATTTGGTTAGGTGCCATTGAAAAACACTATTTTTAATTGCGTCAACTACGATAGTGCCATCCTTTCCAATAGTAAAGGTAATCCTCTACGATCGCCTTGGATATTGCCAAATTTCGCCTAGACGTTTGATCGTACTGTGATTTCACCCTCGCCCCCTCTCCCCCTCACTGTTCGCTTTTCGCGGCATCGTCGTATATGATCAGCACCCCTTAGAGCAATGAAAAACGTCTCGTTGCCTCCCCTCTGCGAGCTGCGACGAGAGCAATATTCTCCCCAATCCCCCACCTTCCTCCCGTCCACATTTGTCAGCACGCCACCACACTCGGCTGTCCTCATGACTATTAAGGTTACATTGCCACCGTTGTCTCGACGCAAAACCCCCATAGTTTTGTGGCCCGAGATTTGTGGCCCGAGCCCCTCCCCCTGAGCCAACTAACCCGCAAACGACGTTAATAACACCGTTTGGATCGAGCCAAAAACACCAGCAAATAGCCCTCCCTACATGGTAGCAGCGTAACCCCAGCACCCCACCCCAGCACATAACAATTTTTACCTTCCATCCACCGTTAAAGTCTCAATCACAAACGCAACACTCCTCGTAGTCGGCAAACCCCTCGCGCTTATCTATCTTATCTGCCTCCCTAGCTCCCTAACAATTTGGTGGCGAAAAAAGGCGGTCCTGCTGCCACTTTGTTGCAGCGCCTTATAACGCGCGGCACTAGTTCGCAGCAACTGTGGGACAGGCGCATTATAAACTGCACCCGCCCCAGTCGAGGCGACCACACTAACCACCCCCTTCGATAGCCCCTAAGCATGGACACCGAGTTTGCCGAGCTCGAGGCCGAGGACCAGCTCCTCATGGAGCAGCAGCGCGCCGACCACAAACAGGTCCACTGGCTGCGGCGCCCGCTGGTGGTGCTCGTGTGTCTCGCGGTGTTCATGGTCGCCCTCGCCCTGTCGCTGGGGGAGCTGGCGCGCCAGATGATCACCTACCAGCTCGCCTGCTACGGGCTTGCCTTACGGCCGCCAGACTTGACTGTAGCCCTGGCTGAAGAACCCCAGTGTGACCCGAAACAGGCCCAGATCCTCGTGCTGAACTTGATGCTTGCCTACCTGGTGTGTATGGGGGTTGCGGGGACGTTGGCGGTGCTGAAGATCGGCGCCATGCTGGACATGTACGGGCGGCGGCGCTTTCTTATATTCACGCTAGCGATGATTGCCATTGGTCGTACGTTTAAGTTTTTCGTGCTTTATCTGTACTCGACGCTTAACATCCCCCTAGTGGTGCTCCTGGAAGTGGTTACTCAGTCCGGTGGAGGGGTGTTGGGGCTCATGACAGTGGTCAATTGTTACATCTCAGACGTGGTCGACCCTGCCAGTCGTATCTATTCGCTCGGTTTCCTGATTGCGCTGATGTTTATCGGGTTAAGTATCGGTCCCGTGTGCGGCAATTTGGTGCTTAAACTCGCCGACAGACACGGCCTCGAACGAGCGATGGACGCCGGCAGCAGCATGCTTGAACGGCTTATCGCTCTGCACCAGTTTGCCCCGCTTAAATTTGAGCTCATCGTGTTTTATGCTACGGTCGTTTACGTCGTGGTGTGGTTGCCGGAGCTGCGGTCTAAAGCTAACCTTAAACGGTCAAGATCCACCGTCAGCTACGGCCTGATCGGTAGCGCCCCGCTGGAACTCTCGCAGGAGTCGGGCCTTGTTGGCGCCGCTGACGAGCTGGCGGTGGAGTTTGAGCTGTGGACGGCGTGGTTGTGGCGCCACCTCAACTTCCTCACCCCCCTCCGCATCCTCTGGATCCCCGCCCACTACCGGCTGCCGCTGACACTCAAACAGGACCGGCTTGTCGTCCTATTGCTCGTGGTGTGTGAGGTGATGCTCACGTGTACCGCCGTCTCCTCCGGCGAGATCTACATGCTCTACGGGATCTACCGGTTCCAGTGGCTGACCCTCGATATTGGCCGCTTGCTTGCGGCTCTCTGTAGCTCGCGAGCTGTGGTCCTCCTCATCTTGCTGCCCTTGGTCAACAAGAAGCTTTTCCCCTGGCTCGGCATCCGAACCTCCAAGACCCGCTACGACTCCAACGACTTCATCATCGCGTTCTCGGGGCTCTGCATCGACGCCGTCGCCCTCCTGTGGCTCTACCACGCCAAGACGACGATGGAATTTTATGGAGTTTTAATGATCGCGGCGTGGGGCCTGTTGGCGCTGCCGACGATGAACCTGGCCATCATCAAGTTCTACCCGGAGCTGAAGGTCGGCGTCGTGTTTGGCGCCATGTCCATCCTCAAAAACTTGCTGACGTTGTTGGGCCCGTTCACGTTCTTGACGGTGTACAAGTTTGCCCTTTCGCGGTGGAACGACCCCGGGTTCACGTTTTTGGTGATCAGCGGCATCTACGCCGTCCAGGCGGCGCTCCAGCTCGTGATCCGCTTCAGCCTCCGCCACGAAGCCTAACCGGGCGTGGTCGGCGTCGCCAGTTACCCCTAGCATTATGTATTATACCGCGATGATTATACGATTTAACTTAGTCTAGTAACATTCAGTAATTTGAGTCATGTAGTGTAAAATGGCAACTTTGGTGTATTGATTTGTTGTCATTTTCTTGATATTGCCTGTCATTTCTACATTTTTGCGGAAATTACGGGTTTACATAACTTGACAGCTGTATGACAAAAGGTGCACAACTAAAGCGTCTGTTTGGAATCGTACGGTTGATGCCTAGGCTATACCAGCCATGTCAAATGTTTTTAAGTTTTCCCCATATCCTACATATCCAATCATTGATGCTTCTTCAGTCCACGAAATGTAAACGATCATCCCTAAAAAACATGATCGTTCGCTATTCCAACACATCATGGGAAATGCTAATTACATGCTGACAATTGCCACTTTTACCAAGGTTTACCGTTTACGACAACTCTTCCATTTCGCTCCACCATGAAAAAAGTAACGTTGCATACATTCCAAATACCAGAAACAACGTTTGTCTTACCTCCATCAATACGCTCGGTTCAAGTCTACATCCAGTCTAAGAGGCTATTACGACTAGTCCAATTATCATCTTTAGAGAGCACCACTCTCTCGGCATCCGTGTCTCGGTAGTCGGGGGATCCGGTGACGATTCCGAGTGCGGGAAATAATCTCCCCCTAATCCGACGGCTAATCTAAGACTATACGTACTGGTATAACCATCCACAGAATTCCACTATTACAGCTCAAAAGCAGATTTCACCAGCTAGAAAAGTCACGCAGCAACCGAGGCCAATGCCATCGAGAAAATACTGCCTTCCCCTCACCCAGTATGTACATGGAGATATTAAAAGTCATGTAAATGTCAAACACCGCGGAGTGGCAGTTGCCGAGGTGACTGGTAACGACGGCCGGGCATCGCTGGGCCCAACGGTTTCCCCTTGTGCTTCCTTTCGCCCGCCACGGTGGGTAGGGTGTTCCCCACTCGGTTCAGTTTTCACAGGCGCACGGTACCCGTCCCTGCACATGTCTTCTGATAGTCGGCACCCCTAGTGCGACCTGATTTGCGGAGGCACCGGCAGACAACGCCCTCCGTTATCCAAGCCAAACGATAACAAATTGAAGCCCCAAACACATCAATCAGTTTCCAACAACGAGCAGACTCCACTGTCTCATTTTTGTAGCCATATCATTAGGCTATGCCTCACTTCGTCGTCGTTCTGTCACCGCTCGGGAGTCGGGACGCGCACGTGAACGTCAAGGCCCCATGTGAGCCTCACGCTATATATTCACCCCACGTCCCGGCTCCAGGTGCGCCCATCTATTCCCCGAATTAAATGGCGACGTTAGAGTTGGCGGCTGCCGCCGTGTTGGGCACCCAGTTGCTCGAGGCCAAGTACCACATCAAGGACGACCTCTTGCTCGCGAGAAAGACGGTGGCGGAGGCGATCCCGTTCCTCTACCGCCTGTACCGAGGGCGGGTGTCGTACTGGTACCCGTTCGAGGCCGCGGCGAAGAAATACAAAAACAACCGGGCGGTGCTGTTCCCGCGTCCCAAGAAGAACCCGCCGCTGATTAAGCAAGACGCCCAGGGGTTCCCCATTTTCGACGACCAGTTTACCGTCGAACTGTACACGTACAAGGAGTTGTACAACATCGTGTTGCGGTTGTCCCATATTCTCCACTACGACTACGGCGTCACCCTGGACCAGACGATCGCGTTGGACTGCATGAACAAGCCGCTCTTCATCTTCTTGTGGCTTGCGTTGTGGAACATTGGCGCCTGTCCCGCGTTCCTCAATTTCAACACTAAGGATAAACCGTTAGTGCACTGTCTTAAGATCACTCACGTGACCCAAGTGTTCATCGACCCCGACTGCTGTGACGCCATCAGAGCCTCCGAGGACCAGATCCACCGGGAATTGCCCGAATGCAAATTGCACTACTTAAATGAGGACGAGTTGATGCGGGTGCTTACTGACCCGCGCTCGCCTAAATACAGAGCTCCCGATAACACCAGACGCCCCAACGACACCGACCACGACTGCGCCGCTCTCATCTACACCTCCGGTACCACGGGGTTGCCCAAGGCGGGGATCATGTCGTGGCGTAAGGCGTTCATGGCGCTGAAGCTCTTCGGGTACATCGTCAAGATCAACCTGAAGCTGACGGTGTTGACGGCGATGCCATTGTACCACTCGACGGCGGCGATGTTGGGGGTGTGTCCCACGTTGCTCAATGGTGGCTGCGTCGCAGTGCTGCAGAAGTTCTCGGCGACCACCTTCTGGACTCAGGCTAAGCTTACCGATGCTAGTCACATTCAGTACGTGGGTGAGGTGTGTCGCTACTTGCTTAACCTGAAGCCCCACCCCGATAACACCGCCCACCACGTTGAAATTGCCTACGGTAACGGGTTGAGAAAGGATATCTGGTTGCAATTCAAAGAGCGCTTCCACATCAAGATGATCGGCGAGTTCTACGCGCTGACGGAGTCGCCCATCGCCACCACCAACGTCCAGTACGGTACTTTTGGGGTGGGCGCCTGCCGCAAGTACGGGGCGTTGATCAACATGATTTTGGGCACGCAGCAGACGTTGGTGAAGATGAACCCCGACGACGAAAACGAGATCTGGAGAGACCCCAAGACCGGGTTCGCCGTCCAGGCCGACTACAACGAGCCCGGCGAATTGTTGATGAAGATCATGCAATCCAACGAGCCCGAAAAGACGTTCCAGGGTTACTACGGCAACAAGAAGGCGACGCTGGAAAAGATCGCCCGCGATGTGTTCAAGAAGGGCGACGCCTGGTTCAGACTGGGCGACTTGCTCAAGATGGACGAGGACGGCTTATTGTATTTCGTCGACAGATTGGGCGACACCTTCAGATGGAAGCTGGAAAACGTGTCGGCGTCGGAAGTGGAAAACGAGTTGGCGGCGTCCGGTGTCATCAAGCAGCTGGTGGTGGTCGGGGTGCAGGTGCCCCACCACGAAGGCCGTGCCGGTTTCGCCGTGATCGAGGTTGCCGACGGCATGGAGGACAACTTGCCCGAGGTGTTGGACAAGCTCTACGCTCACGTCGACAAGTCGCTCCCCAAGTACGCCCAGCCGATGTTCATTAAAGTGGCTACCATCGAGCTGTCCCACAACCACAAGGTGCCCAAGAACACCTACAAGAAGCAGAAGTTGCCCAAGGGGGACAACGGCGAGGACACCATCTACTGGTTGAACAAGAACCGCTACGAGGAGTTGACCGAGGACGCGTGGCTGCAGATCATGCTGGGGGCGTCGAAGTTGTAGTGTATGTAACGATAGAAAACACAGTGAAAAGCATAATCATAGTTGGCTCCTCTATGTAAGCGAATGCTGAGGACACTCGTGCCAATAAAAGAGGATATGTATAAGTTGAATGTAATATTAAATATACCTAGGTGTGCAATGACAGCCTCGTAAGTGGTAAATCTCCTCTTTGCGAGCCATTAGCATTGTACAATTGCTCAATTTATCATATAAGTTCTCAGTCATTTTAGTGTTAAAAACAAGCTAAAATGATCTTTTATTCGATTCACCAAGCTGATACTAAAAGTCCAAGGCTGACGATCGAAGCATAAAAGCAACTCTAGTACAAATAACCCATTTCTTAGCTTATGTCTTACTCTATAGAAATCACTACTGGTTATCACGTGAGCCGCACCGCGATCAACAAAGTTTACGGCGACCCTTTGACTACCATAGCCCCTATGGACAAGTCGAATTTCCGCAAGTCCCGGGCGGCGTGGGGGCTGCTAGCACCCCCTAGCAACAACCCCTACGCCCACAACAACGCCCTGCGCTCGCTGTTGGAGCTGAAACAACTGCGCACGCTGACGCTCATGGTCCCCGGCCAGCTGAAGCGCCAGACCCGCCGGGCGCTGATCCACGCCAGCGCCACCGCCCAGGCCCACGGCCGCCTGTTCTCGACGATGCGAGGCGAGCTCCCGCCGCTTCCAGGTACTCCCATGGCGGCAGCGGGGGCGATGCCGGGGCTGGCCCGCCCTTTGGAAGACGAGGGCGTGGGGCTGATTCTCGACCGCCTCGCCAAGGAACTCTCGACGGCGCTGGCAGCGGAGATCGACGAGTTCAATAAAGTGTTACGAAAGGAAGAGCAATTGGTGTCGCAGCAGATCAAGACGCTGATCAACGAGAACCAGAAACAGATCCTTCAGTTGACTCAGGATTTACAGCAGATTAAGCTTGAATTGGGACATTTGCGCACTCACCGTAAGGACTTATGGGAAGCCCTCACTGACTTTAGAGAGTCGGCGGAGCGGCGGCTTGAAATTGAACAGGATTCGACCCCCACCCATTTAAGCGTTAATGGCGGGGGGCTTGCTGGTGGACGTGGCGGAGGAGACTTGGGCAATAAGCGGAAAGACCGGCTGTCGGTGCTCGTTCTCCAGAAGATGTGGGCGCTGGAGCTTCTGCTGTTGTTCAAACACGTCGAGGGGGCCAACAAGTACATCGAGGCGATCCCGGGACGCCACGTGCTCGCGGAGCTGGGGAGATGGCACGAGGTCAACGTGGGGACGTGGAAGCCGGTAAAACCAGTGCACATGTTCGTGCTCAACGACATGATCCTCATGGCGACGAAAAAGCAGAACATGGGTAAAGCCGAGACCCTGAAGCAAAAGCTCGTTGCTACGCACTGCTGGCCACTTTCCCAGGTGGAATTTTCCCCCATTGACGGACCCAGACTCGACGAAGACCATAAGGTGTACTTGGTGAACATTAAGCACAAACAGCTCAGTTACGTGTACCAGACGGACCGCCTCGACCACTTCCTCAAGATCAACGAGGCGTTCAACAAGGCTCGCGACGAACAGACCCAGCTGGAACGCATGGCGCGGGCAGCAGACATGAAGCTGAGCCAAGGCGCCGACGCCTTTGAGGAGAAGCGCCAGTTGCGCCAGCTGGTGCGGATGTCGACGATGTTCAACTCCGACCAGATTGCCCTGGCGTTGAGTATGCAATCAAACGGCAAACAACCAGGCCTAGCCGCGGCTCAACCGCAAACTCAGGCTCGCGGGATGCTTGAAAACATCAGTGCTCGAGTACACCAGCGAAATCGCAACACCGGCGAGCGTCGTGGCGGTCCGCTGGCAGCGGCGCTGCCTTACTCACGCTATAACCAACCGTTGGGACAGGGGGCGCTGTCGTTTACCGAACTTAAAGAGCTCGAAGATAAGCTTGACGATGTCGACGTCGAGATTGCCCACAACAACTATCCCGATGCGGTGGGGCTTATATGCCACATTCGTGACCGCCTTTTTGACGTTGATGACCGCAATAGTGCCACTGAAAACAACGAAGAAGTGAAGCTTTTGGTGGAGGTGGTGCGGCTTAAAATTGACCTGCGCCAGGCTAAGGTGATCCAAGGGTTAATTTTCGACTTACAAAATAACGTGGCGTTCTTGGGTGAAGACGATATTGAACGTATCATCGAGTACTTCGACACTTTTGATGAATTGAAGAAGGGGGTGATCTACTACTTGAACGCGATGCTGAACCACTTATACGCCATCGTGCTGCGGTTGACGGTGGAAGTCCAGGGGCTGACCAAAGTGGATGTGGTGAACTATCTCTCCAATCTCGTGGTGATCTACGTGCTGATTATCAAGCGGGTGATCCTAGTGTACAACCGCAAAATCAACCCCATCCTTGTCCAGGACCCGGAGTCCCAGGTGGACTCGTCGGGCTTGATGAACTGGTGTATCGAGGAGATGTCCAAGTTGGAAGCACTGGTGCGCAAGTACTTGGTGGGGTCGCTTGTGGAGGTCGTGGGCCACAATGAGGTGACGGATATGCCTCAGTACGAAGTGAAAGACAAGACCCTTTTCGCGGAGTTCTTATCGGTATTGGCTCCTCAACTCCAACAATTGAAGGATGCTGGCGTAAATGCCGACTTCAAGTTCGAAGACATCTTGGACCTCGCTTAGTGTGGGCGATTAATACATCACGGATATATACGGTTAATGCAACGATAAGTGCAAACTTCAGAAGTGATGTCATTACCTACCAGGCTCGCCAGCCCCAATAGCTTTAGCATTACTCGAATGAGAAAGCATTCTTCGTTTCTTTAATTTGTCAGATCTACACGGTAAGTTCTGGTTTCACACTAGTAAATGTTCATTAATTGTTGTTCGTCAGACTGGTGCTCGTAGAGGGAGGGGCGAGGAGACGGTGGTATAACGCCGCCCCCAGGGTGACTTGTTCCGTCGGCGTCGTCTTTTGGAACGTCTGTCTCCGCTTCTGGCTCTTGGATAACCCTTTGATTTCGGTATAAGTGTCCAACCCTTTCTTTAGTCTCACTTTAGGGTCAGTGATCACCAACGCCGCCAAAAGGGTATAGTAAGCATCGTTAGCAGCGTTATGAAGATTATAATGAGGAATATCAAGAAATTCAAGTACTCCGTGGAGGGTTCCGCCAGCGTTACGCAGAAGCTGCCAGATGTCGGCGACGTCAATCACGGGGACGTCCAGCGGGACGTTAATGCCAAGACTGCGGAGCCAGTCGACGTCGCCACTAAAATTGTGGCCGACGAAGGCGTACCGGGGAAACCGCAAAAGCAGGTTGCGGACGAATTCGGCCATTTCCCGCTGGGAGATGACGTACAGCTTTGCCCCGTTGAACTGGTGCTTTTTATCGGGGACAAAGCGGCCGTTGACCATATTGAGGTGTTCCTTGACGATCAAATGGGTGGTTTCAATGGTGGGGAAAAGGGAGGGGCCCAGCGCCGGGTCGTAGATGGCGATGCCCACCTCGGTGACTTTCAGCAGCTGGCGCTCCCACGCCTCGACGTCGATGCAAATGAGCGGGACCAAGCCATTCTGGACGAGGTTGACCGCGTCTTTGAGCCGGTTGACGTCGCCGCGAAGGGCGAAGCTGCCGCTAAGGTACTTGGACACCGATGCCAGCATCATCATCGGGATCAATACCTCAAAGTTGTGTGCAGGATATCCGTCGTGGCAACCGAGCGTGTGCGAGCAAACACGTTAGACAGCCAAACAGCCACCAAACAGCCACCAAACAGCCACCAAACAGCCACCAAATGTGGTGAAGTTTATGGGTTTAGGGTAGCCTGAAACACATGGTAAGACACCACACGTTGGAGAAGTTTTGTAGTTCGGTGACGTGGGGACGGCTATCATGTGGGGGGCTGGGTGGCCTGGCTAAGCCCGATCTTGATGAGCCAATGCGGCTTGACACGTCGACAAGTTGTGTGTCGTTCCCAGCCTTAGATGCTGGCTTAGAGAGCTTTGGTGAGAGTGTGGTTGCGAGCGCGCGCTCCGTCCCCGTCCCTTACAGGTGCGAAGCATCGGCACCTTTCTTCTTCCCAGTACGAACAGTTTACGAGCAGGAGCGAAGACACGAAAGAAAAGAAAGCAGCTACTAAAAACAACCATAAACAATTCCTGATAGACCCTTTATCTCATTATTTTCACCTCATAAAACCCCTTCCTCTTCCTTTACTCTTCGCCCTTTAACCTCAGCCGTGTGGTGCGCTGTGGAGAGTTTCCAGCCTTTCTGGCTGGTGCGAAATCGGGGTGCGCAGCCAGCACCACCACCTGTGTTCTGTTTGTGGCCAAGCCAGATCCAGGGGGTACCGAGAAATGTCCAGGCAAGTGAAGACTAGCTATTCAGACACGGAAACCAATTCTGACAACCATAGGAGCCTTTTCTCCTCGATTCCTTGGAGTGGGTGCTAGCGTACTCAGTGTTATCTCGCCGCCATGGGGCTGCGCGCGCGCTAAACTTAGCTGGCAACCAGCCACTCGCCTTACGGCCTGGTGCACCGTCTAAAAGCGCCGGTAACAATGGCTGGCGACTAAGCGACAGATGCGCAAAGTATATAGGGAGCGACAGCTGCCCCTTCCCCAGCCAACCCTCCCCCCTTCCACATGTACCGGAAACCGGACCCGGGGCCCTCGGGGTACCGCGTGGCGAAACGCCCGCTGATCAGACGCCACCGGCGCACCGACCTGGCGGCGTCGTTGGTGAGGTCCCCGCTGGTGTGTGACGTGAGCAGCGACGACCTGACACTGCTCGACCTGCCCCCCTCGACGCCGTACGACCCCCAGGAACCCGCCTACTTCGACGCCAGACCAACCACGCCACAAACCATTCCAGCGGCGGTGCGCCTTGGCGACGTCCCCGAGATCGTCCACCGCATCTTCCAGTACGTCGACCACGCCACCGTCGTCCCCGAGGAAGGGTGTGTCGTGCGGCGGCGCCCGCTCTCGTTCGACCACGCCATGCTCATCCACCAGCTGACCCAGAAGGCGGTGAGCGTGCTCAAACACAGCCCCACCACCAGCGCCGGCTTAGAGGTGCTGGCGCTGCTGGCGCAGGCGCTCGCGAACTGTATGATGGTCAACCGGCTCTGGTGCTCGATCGCCAAAGCCGTCATTGGCGAGCGCGTGCTCTTTGCCAACGAGCGCAACTGGCACCGCCTCACCGCCCAGCCCCAGCCGTACCGCCACTTAAACCGCCCGAAACAGGTGGTGCTCCACAAGTTGGTCCACGCGCGCCAGCCGCTGATCGAGCTGATCAAGCACGCCGACTACTCGCGCCTCACCTGGCTCGAGCTCTACATGTGCCCCAAGCTCGCGCCGCCGGTGGAAATGCT